AAGGTAATTAATAAAATGTTCCATCTGCTTCAGGACAATGCTGCTTGCTAATGGACACCTACAATTTTTGAGATATTTGGAACATGTCCATCTTTACTCCAGATGCTAAAACTGCCAAAATCTGCCAACCATTATTGGAAAGGATAAGAGTACATTTTTTGTTGTTTGAACTTTTTTCCCATAAAAATCTGGCCTTAGCAACAAAAAAACCCCCAACAAACAAACAAACAAAAAAACCCCAAAAAACCTCAAAAAACAACCAACCAAGAAACACACCAACCCCCCCCCCCCCAAAAAAAAAAAAACAAAAAAAACCTCCATACAAATCTGGCCTTAGCAACAAAAAAAACCCCAACAAACAAACAAACAAAAAACCCCAAAAAACCCTCAAAAAACAACCAACCAAAAAACACACCAAACCCCCCCCAAAAAAAAAAAAAAACAACCAAAAAAACCTCTCGCGTAGGGGGGAGGGATTGCCTATACTCAAGTTAGTTAAAGCCTCTGCCAGAGACACTAACATCTTTTTTATGGTGCATAGTGTTATGCACAACAACTGCATATTAAAAGAGGAATAAAATTTCCTTGCAATTTTATTCTTCATTGAACTGGCAGAGGGTCAAGTGCTTCTTAAAACTGTAGCAAGAATCTCATTGCCTGTACCTAAAATTTCATGTAAGGTAGTAGAACACATATTTGAAAGATTATGTTTAATTGTACTGCATTAGAGTCTGGCTGTATAAGCACCATTTTAGATACAACACAGTAGGAAGCCCTTTCTTGTCTAGAAATTATCACAGGAGTCCTCTGAAGACCTGGAAATGTTCTCCTGTGATTTTGTGGAGATACTGCACTATATACTGCAGAGTGGATAGGTCATGTCCAGAGAGAAAAGATGTTTTTCACAGGAGAATATTTGCAGAATGAATGAAATTAGTGTCAGGTATTAATCTGAGGTTTTTTTCTGGAGTCCAGATTTGCCTTTGTCATGGACACTAGTCTTGACTGAAAAGTAAACATTACACAGCATTTACCACAAAGTGGTATATATCTAATATATTGAATAGGAATTAGTCTCAAAATCTTTATGTAGCAGCTTTTTGTAGCTGCCTTTTTATCATATTGATTATATCCAATGCACTTCAATACCTTCCTGTTTTTTCATTTTTTAATATGGGAAACATCAGTAGGGATATTCATGATCATAAAAATAATAGATTTGGGACAGAAAGGAACACAGGATCAGTGAATATAGCACTGGGATGCAAAGGCAGGGTTTGTATTTTGCTTTAAATCATAATTTTAAATGGACAGTAACAAAATTAAGATCCTAATACTTCCATTGAAAAAAAAAATGCAAAGAAGTCTGTAGAAAGATAAGTTATTTAAGAACTATGTGAAATTTTACTACTATTGGTAAATAGAAACAGAAGGTGTTTGTCATCATTCGCACCAAACCTTGGTTTATTCCCTGTTTCCATTTTTTAAATGAGATGTTCTGAAATAAAGGTCTCCAGCACAGTCCGGATGGTGTTACAAACCACCCTAAAGGTGAGGGTAATTCAAGCTCTTATTAATTGATCCTGGGAGCAGATTAGGGTGAAACAACACAGAATGACCAGTGTTTATATATACATACATACATACATACATACATACATACATACATACATGTTTATATATTTACATATTATTCATATATTTATATTTATATTTATATTTATATTTATATTTATATTTATATTTATATTATTATATGAGTTAATTTTGGAAAATTTTGGTTGCAATGGTAAGGGGGTATGTAGCCATTTTGGTTATTAGTATCAATAGCAATATAGCAGTACAAAAGCATAAAAATAACACTGAAGAAAATTTGTAAGGAAATGAGAGAAGGAAAGGAGAATAGAAAGATATCACCACACATGGATTCAAGAAGACTTGATGTAATTTCAGTGTTTGTTAGTCAAAGTGGTGGTCATAGTTTTGATCTGCCAGGTGTGGGGGAAGCCCATGAGAAATGGAGTTAATATGTATGTTAGTATTAATGATGGGTTAATATATGTTCAAATTTACAGTGGGAGTGCCCAGACACCTCTCCTGGGGAGGGCAGCTTTACACTGTCTTTTGCAATACCATGGATGTGTTTCAGCTGTGGATCGAGTGCAGTCCTCAGGTGGAAGATCCCAGAAATGAGCCTGGCAGCTATGGTCTCCCCCTGCCAGACCCAGCCAGGGCTTATTTACAGCACATCTGTGGAGCTGGCTTCTCTTGGATACATTGCTTCAGCCTTGTTTACTTCTCCTTAGACCTGAGATAATGGGACAATAGTAGCGTCTTTATCTTATCTCAAGTTCCCTTCTGGAAGCTTAACTTACTGTCCAAATTTCCAGGAATTCACAGGGGTGGGAGAGGGAGAGAGGGGACTTCTGTGGTCTCAGATGAGCAGTTGCTTCTTTATACAGTTTGCCATAGTGGGCAAGTCCTTTTGTGATTATCTTAACAGTGTTTGAGCCATTAACCATTACCTGTGCATCAGTCAGAGATTTCCCAGTAGGATCTCTCAAGGCTGCAGCTCATTCTGCTTCTCATTCTTTCCCACTCATTCTACTTCCTTAGCTGTTGCCATGCAGCAGATGCGGGTTTTTGTGAAATGTTGCTGTTTTGATTTAGTGGTATTTCATGCCTCTTTTTTCCCTATTTTATTTCTTTTGTAATTCTTTTTATGTATGTTGAAAGACAGTGAAAAAGTGGGATCTTTGAAGTTCTTTATTGATAGAAACATTGCAAAAAGGTTCAAATTTATATTCTAATCATTTATGCGCAGAGGTGTTTGTCAAAAGAACCTGTAGGACATATCACTCACTCCTGTTGAATTTCAGTGGAATTTCAGTCTTAATCCCTTCAGGCTCTTCTTCCCAATTCTTCATACCTCAAACATCAGTCTTAACATAAAAATGATTTATTGGTAGTGCCCCTCAGATGAAAACTACAAGGAGGCTCTTAGGGCAATTTTCCTTTAATTACCTGGTATTTCTATCCATATTTCATATACTCGCCTGCTGCTCCTGATCCTCCATGGTATTATGCATTTTGTCACTTTCCCTGGTCTGCAACTGAACCGATAGGTAACTTGTTATTTGTAAATGGGATTTTAAGTCACATGATCTCTAACAAATAAAACAACATATAAATCAGCAAATAAAAAAGGACAATTAAATGTGATCTATCATAGAGAAGTGAGCAAACCACTTGTTATGAGGCAATGTCTCTAGCAGTGATGAGGTACTGAACAAAATCAAGTATAATATCAAAGAAATGCATGTTTTACAGGTTGATAGTTTTGTATTAGAGAGATATATTTATTAAAATATTATTAGAGAAAATAGAAAAAGGGATTAAAGAAAACCAAGCAAATAAAAGTTCTGTGTACTGTCATGATAGTTTTATTTAAGATTATTTTTAAAATTTAAAACTTTAATTAGAAAAATGTCAAAATTTTATTAATGTATTACCTCTTGGTATAGCTAAAAACTGAGCTTCTGGTTTTTGTCAGATTAGTTTATAAGTACCCATAATTTCCAAAATATCTCTTTGCATTTGTCGCCATTCATAAAGAGAACTGCTTTCTCTCCTGTCAGGCTCCTTCACATAATAAAATTCTCTTTCCTTTATTCCTCATTCTCTCCTTAGCCTCTGGCCCTGACCTGGAAAAGGCCCTCACAGCTCTTTGGCTCTCAGACCAAAGGAGCTGAAGAGAGCTGTCACCTGTCTCTGTATAGTCAGCACTCCTTTTGTATTGCTGTATGATTGATGGAGAAGAACCTTAAGCCTTGTTAATCGGCACACAAGGGAGCCAGCAGAAAATGATAGAGGCTGATAAGTTCCTTGAAGTCACTTTTATATTGAAATCCCTTGAAAATTTTATATTGGTTAAATTTTATCAGGCCTTGTCCGTTCAAAGTAATTTACTTGAAAATGGTCTATGCAGAGCAATTGCAGTAGTACAGACTGTTGCAGCATACTAATATTTTGAAGTCATGAGACCACATTTTGTACCTGTCCAACAAAACAAAATTGCACCAAGGTAGCATTTTCCAATACGCCAAATACAGTTTACTTCCAACATAGTTTTTAAGCTCTCCCATATCCAATTTATATGCTGTGCTGACAGAAGCAAAACACTAAATCCATTTACAGTTCCATTTTGAAGATAGCTGATGAATTCACATTATCAATGTTTAATCAGTTTTTTGTTTGTTTGTGTTGTGGTTTAACCCTAGCCAGCAACCAACTAAACAGTACAAAACCCAGCAGATGGGATACCCAGCCTGTTGACGCAGGCATCTGGTCCAGGTCATCCGTCTGGTTTGGCTTGGATCCTTTTTCCCCCACTTTTCTGCCTTCCCAAGACTAGGCATCAGAGTAAGGTTCACCAGGCAGTGTGTGTCACCTGTTAATCAGCAGCTGTTGTTTCCTATCTATGTACTTTTGTTCATAAAATCCACACCACTACAGAGCCTTACATTCCTCTTTGGAAAAATCTTGTATCATTCTGCTTGTTCTGGTGTACCCCTTATGGGTTGCCTTGTTTCCTTACTCCCAGGCTCAGCCATTCTCCATGCTTTTGAAATGCTGGGTTACTCTACAGGACATAGTGAAAGAGCTATTTAATCTTGTGTATCTTTTCCTTACTTTCCTTCCATACTTTGTTTACTCTAGTTACCCAGTTCACGGGTACTTTTATATCAGATGCAGATATAAATATTGAAAGAGTTCAATATAAAAGCAACACCTAGCAATCATGAAGAAGAATGTCATACCCTTAATACAGTGACTTCCTGCTTATTATTCTCGGTACTACACAATTTTTTTATGGTGATTGTTCTCCCTTGACAATTTTGCCGAGGGAATTGTGCAAACAAAGCTTTTCTATTTTTGTTCTCAGCAAGCAGATTAGTGTTTCATTGTGTCAAAAAAAGCATATATTTATTCCATGACAGGAGTACACGATAGATGTGTTCTTCCGTCAGCGATGGAAGGATGAGAGATTAAAGTTTAAAGGCCCAATGAACATTCTTCGACTGAACAACCTAATGGCCAGCAAAATCTGGACCCCAGATACATTTTTTCACAATGGGAAGAAGTCAGTGGCTCATAACATGACAATGCCAAACAAGCTTCTACGAATCCAGGACGATGGGACACTCTTGTACACCATGAGGTATGTCTGTTCATCTCTACTCTTCTCATGCTGTTTCTTGATGTGATTTTTCCATTGAACAATTAAATGAGGTCTCAGGAGAACTCTCCTTTGTTTTACTTTTGTCTAAGCAGAAAGAAAGCTAGAAAAATGCATGCTTTGTTTCCAGTTCTGTTAAAAGCCTCTTGGCTGATAAAGAGTTAGATCAGTTTCCCTATGTGTGCCCCAGTTTTTGTAATGTATTGAAGACACTGAACACCTGAATAAAGTTATGTGAGACCTTCAGGTAGAGTTTACCAACTCTGTCTAATAATGACTAAAATAATGTAGGAGTTTAGCCTGTTACTGCAGCCATTGTACTGAATATGTGAGCCTCTAAGCAAATTTTTTATTAAGATCAGGGGAATAAAAAAACAAAGCAGGAATGAAGAGGTAATATGGTCTCAAATTCTTTTCAGCAAGAGCTAAAGGGAAAATATGTCTTACTGTGTAATTACTGTTTCTTTATATCTAATTAAAATATTTAACTTAGATTTTTTTTCCATCTGTGCATTATTTGTAGCTAAGATAAATATTTCAGCTGGTAAAATGTATTAAATTTACTTAAAAAATGGAATATAGAATACGGAAAATTATAAAAAATCACGTATACACAGATATTGGTAGCATTTTTATAAGACTGATTTCTTCTTTGGTAACTCTTTTGGCAATAATGTTACCTGTGTGAATTTTTTAAAAAATTTTACCCAAGTTTCCAGAAGCCCCTGGCTTAGTTTTTTTGATTTTCCTGGAGAATACTTAATAAATTGAAGTTGTCATGACTGTCAACTTAAAATCCCTAGCCTAAGTAAGATAGAAAAATGTGAGCTTCAAAGTTAACATGTACTCTGGTACTTTTTTCCACGCAGCCATGCCAGCACCCCTGAAACCCAGTTTTACTACACAGCTCTGAAACCCTTACACTGCTGAGTGCTGATGGGCAGACTGCTGATGATATTGGATGATGTAGTGCTTGGAGAGATTCAGGAAAGTTTGCTTGAAGTAAATTCAGGCCCCCTATATTGTATTTTTGCCTTGGCTCAAATCAGTATTTGAGAATTATCTATCTAGGATGACTGAAATTCTCTTTCTCCAGAGAGTATAATAATCACATACTATAAATTATAGGAAATACTGTTTGAAACCATTATGAAGCATAAACTGGGTCAGGTTAATTATAATTGACTAAGCATTTTTGTTGCTTGTGAGTATGTTGGTTCTCAGGGTATGAGATTAATGTGTACACTGATCTAACTGTTTTGTCTAGATTTTAAACAAATACTTTTATCATGTCTACATAAAATGATTGTGTGATTTACATCAGGGGCTCATTCATTTCTTTCCTTTGCCTTCAGCTGTTTGCTGATTCTTATCTCTTGGTGCCCCTTGAATTCAGATAAACATTCCTGGGGGGTGGAGGAGTAGAATTATGAAATATTTTTTGGTGGAAGACTGGGAGAATATGGCAGAGAATACAATGACTAAGAATCACTGGGAATACAGAAAGCTGTAACTGATGAAGAGGAAGAAAAGACATATAGAAAAATCCTCTGCCCAGAGAAGACTTAAAGGATATGAAGGAGAAACATAGGGGTTTTCCTTGGCTTCTTTTTTTTTTTTTAATTAAAAATAATGGGGAAGTCCATGAAAAGCTTTCTTCAAATTGTTTTAAATTATTTTTATTGTAGTAATCCCCTTATATGATACTGGGATATTTCACAAAAATGGGCAAAAGTGGATGTTTGTTAACATACTGTCACACTTTACATAAATGTAAATAATAATCACTAGTAACATGGAGAATGAGGAGCAGCAATCTTTTGAAAGAACACAAATATTTTTTTCTCTGTATCTTCAATTCAAACTGTAAAAAAAATTAATTTAAAAGACTGGACTAGAGTTCTTTGGCAAGTTAATTGTATTTTAGATGCTTTTTAATGAGCCTTTAAGAGCTATAGTAGCACACAAGTACCACAGAATATTATGAGAAGAAAATTATTTTTCTTAACAACCTGGCAGCACTTAATTTGTATTTTTCTTTAAGTGACCTTTGTTCATAATTTTGAGGTCAACTTTTACAGGTACTTGATAAGTAAATGCTTTTCAAAGGAACACATAAAATGGAAGAAGTAAAAGCTGATTTAAATTCTTGTTAGTTTAATCTAAAATTTCAATTCAGTCTACTAAATTGGCATGAACTCTGTTCATTTCTGTGGAACTGATTTTCTTGTCCTGCTAAATTACTTAAATGCATAGAGATTTTTTGCCTTTTAGGCTTACAGTCCAAGCTGAATGTCCAATGCACTTGGAGGACTTCCCTATGGATGCTCACTCGTGCCCACTGAAATTTGGCAGCTGTAAGTATATAATGGGAAGTAGAACCTTTGATTAGTGAATATCTAACATTTCTCAGCATAATTTTGTTTCAGTAAATTGTTACATGGGAAATGTAAACCACAAGATGGGACTTAAAAAAAAAATCTGTATCCTGACACATCAAAATCTATTTTCTGTATTCAAGTATTGTGTCTTCTAGTGTATTTTAAAGATTTAATTGCTCCAATCACAATAAACACCTGCACCTGATCGGCACTGCACTGGTCTACTTTCATTGCAGTGTGTAAATCATACTGACCAACACAGAACTGGGTGCACATAACCTGTGTAGCATTAACAAAGAGCAGATCAAGGAATTCAGTGAGTGGGTTTTTTAAATTTATCACCAAAACTTAATTTCTCTTTATTGTAAATGGTATTTTTAATGTTATTCAATGAAAGCAATAACGAATGGCTTCATTTGACAAAAAAATTTATTCTTCAGTGCATATTCATGTTACAGACAGGTGGAATTTGACCTCACTGGTATTATTTTTAAAAGCAGCATTATTTCACCTTCTTAGATTACAGGCATTGTTTTTCTTCTTGATTATATATATTTCCTGGATTTTTTACTCTAAAAGTTTTTTTTTTCTTCCTTTGGCTGCCGCCTGCATTCTCTGCTGTGCTCAGGAAAGGAAATTGGGTTTTTTGAGGAAACAAGTTAAAGCCTATAAATTCTGGCTGACTTTACAATAATTGTAGCACCCACAGAATACAAAACAGGGGATATGCTGCCATTAAGGACCTCATTAGCCACATGATGCTTGTCATAGCACTGTGCTACTGGGCACACTCTCTCCACTGTGCTCCAACATCCCTTTTCCTTGGAGTTTGTAGCAAATTAAACAAAGCCTTTGCTTCTGATGATGTTTCCACATTTGAAGGAAATCTTAGCTATGGAGATAAAAGAATAGAATGAATACTATTTGCATCATGGAGCCTTTTCCTGCCCCCTCAGTATTATATTTGTGATACATAATGCAGCCTAAATCAGCTGAGATGTTAGCCAAAATCAGCCACTGACTAATAATATTTACATATAAATGCCCAGCTAGGCATGTTGGATTTATAAGGTGTTGCAGGAAAAAAATACTCCTATATAAGACTCAAAACAATTTGAAAACTCCTGTAATAATGGAACTTATACTCAGGCCAAAAGACTGCTTTCTTCAGCAGCAGTTTTAGGTTGGAAACCCTTATTACTGGATGTATTAGACTTTGTGTGAGTCACTTCCTTTTTTGTCCTTTTGTCTTGATTGTTTGTTTTTTCTTACCAGCTTGCTCTTTTTTTCTCTGCCTATGATTTTCCAATAATCAGAGGAATTCTAAATGTGAGCAATGTGATTTTAAAAAGTGTATTTCATTTCCCTCAAAGTCACTCGTGCCTGTTGGCACATTCAGGGGACTCTTCTGTTCATTTTGAATGGCTTCACACACATTTTATTTCTTTACCTAGGACTCAATTCTAGTCAACTGTGCATTTTTCACCTTTTAGTCTGGGATAGAATTTGAATGAAGAATAGTGGTGAAAATAAGCAGGAATCCTGAGGATTTTGGTTAAGGCAAGTTTGCCAGTGGTATACATTTGTCACAGCTCTTCATATGCTGCTAATCTTACGTTGCTAGGAGGATCATCAGCGTGTATGAATGTCTCTTTTTATACATAAGAGAAAAGCCAAACAATGTATGGGAGAAGCTGTAGCTTAATAGATTGCTTTTCTTTATTCTTTTCAAAAAGTCTAGCTGACAGTGAAGAGAATGGAGACAAATCAACTATTTGCCCAATTTGCCATACTGCTGCTTTGCACTAAAGCAGAAATATTTTTTGTGTTAAGCGGGAAGGACACATGGGAAGTGTTAAAAATCTCTACTTGCTACCCACCTGCTAGATTTTGTTAGTCATGCAATTTATGGCTAGTTGCATGAAGAAGCTACTTTCTGAGCCTCTAGAGATTTCTCAAGTGAAAATGTTTGCAGACCAACAGTAATAATGCTTTACTTTTTAATTGCACTGCAGTTATGGTGTAGGATATAAAATGTACTTGTCTCAGTCAATCAAAATGAACATCCAACTTCTTCCATCAGTGGTTTACCCTTTTTCTTTCATATTCCATTTGTTAAAAGCATATTAGACTGGAAAAACTTTCAGGACATACTCTTTTTTTTTTTTTTCTTACTTACTGGAGAGGCATTAGTGCTGTTTAAAATACAGTGTTGATTTGCTTTCATACTAGTTTATTTTGAGAGACCAGACTAAATGTATGTTTGATCATGAATGTACTGAGAGAGCAGCCTGTTTAATATTGGTGTGCCCCCCAAAATAATGAACACTAGTGAGATTTAAGAGGGTAGGCAGAACAAAGTACCAGGGTGTTTTCACTGCTGGCTTCCCATATTTAAGTCTGGATTTCAACTAACAATAAAATTCTTGTGACACATCCCTGAAGTTGAGTGTGGAGACAATGGAAGGTCAGAACTATACAGGAATGAATTTTTAAAAATTTTGTGTGTTCTGAATCTTGAAAATGGTTCTTCTGTTCATCTGCCTTATCACAAATTATAGGATACATATAATATCTAATCTCTGACAAGTATTTTAACCATGTAGAAGACATGTTGTTTTTAGTTTAATAGAAAGAAATTGTAGTTAATAAGTTCACAAGTGAGTGCCCTCTTCCTGTGCTGCAATAGGCACTTAATTTACAGTAAAGCTATTTTAAATGGCCAAAGATATTTTTTTATAACATAATTTTAAATTCTTTGGGGTTTTTATTTTAAAAATAAGTGGCTCTTGTAATTCTGTGAGTTTTGATGGATGCTGTTTAATTTAAATTGTTGGCAACACATTTTACCTTGTTTCTCACAGATGCATACACAACTTCAGAAGTGACATACATTTGGACTTATAATGCTTCAGATTCAGTGCAAGTGGCACCAGATGGGTCAAGACTGAATCAGTATGATCTTTTAGGCCAAACAATTGGAAAAGAGACAGTTAAGTCAAGTACAGGTTAGTAAAAGATATTTTGAAATATTTTGGAGAAAAAGGCAGTTACTGGCTGTGAAAACTATATCCCAGGTGGTGTTACAGGCTTCTGAAAAAGAATGTTGCAAAATGTGATCTCTTAGGCATGTACTGTACAAGTAACACAAAACAGCACTTCACTGATTCTTTCGAATTGTAATTAACTGGTGATGGCATAGGTGAACTTGCCCTAAGTAACTGTTTTTTAAAATGCTATCTGGAGCTTCATGTTTAATCCTAACATTTGTAACCCAGGGTTAGGATATTTGTTAAATTTCATATTGCAAGTGACATAGATTTTGTCTAGTAAATGGTAAAGCAGACAGGTTTCAACCATGCTTCCCTTCCATCATGTTTTTGACATGAAATACTGGACTATTCTGCTAGACTCTAGACTGTTTTCCTGCACGTGCCAGGCTGTGATGGCCCCCTTGGCTGCTTTCTAACCATGATTAAATTCTCAGAGAGGTGGTGTGTGAATGCAGAGAGTTGCTTATAAGCAGAAGCCTTCAAGGCTGAAGTACTTTTCAGTGCAAACAAAACTTCCTGGAAGTTCCTTAACACTCACTGTTCCACTTTCATGGAACACAGTGGGAATAAGAAATAACTGTACACAAAATCTTTCTTATACTCAATAGGATGCTTTTTATTACAAAATATCTTAGGTACAATGTAACCCTAGAACATTTGTTTCACATGAATATAGCAAACTTTCTCTTACCAAAGAAATGGACTTTCTTAAGTTGATAACCTTTTGTTTCACTGTATTTTGTTTGTTTGTGGCACCTAGGTGAATATACAGTAATGACGGCTCATTTTCACTTGAAGAGAAAAATTGGTTATTTTGTCATTCAGACTTACCTCCCCTGTATCATGACTGTCATTCTGTCTCAAGTGTCATTCTGGCTGAACAGAGAATCTGTACCTGCCAGGACAGTCTTTGGTGAGTATACTGAGTAGCATTAGCTCTGTTTGCAGTAGCTGAAGATGCTAGAAAGTACTTCTGAAAAAGGGCTTTTTCATTCAAGTTAAAATGTTTGTAGAATGTGATATGCTTTCTAGTCCAAACAACTTTCAGCTGCAGCTCACACATCTCCTGAGAATCCCAAAGGTTTTGGAAATTAGTACATGCAAGCCAACTGTCCTCATATCCTTGACTCTTAAGAGGAAAAAGAAATCAAAGAATATAAAAAGACGATAATGTTTCTATTTAAAAACTAAATTTAGTAAACTTAGATGATTTTCTGAAATATCTTACTTACCTTGGTATTATCCAAGTATTCTGGTACTTGGTAGATAGGCAAATTTCTAAATTTATTTGTAAATTAGGCAAATTAAACTTGAATTTGTTGAATTATTTTTGTTCAAATTTCAAGCTGAAGTTCATTTAAAGAAACCCTGTTCTGGGCTTTTGGGCAACACTTTTTCGCTGATTCAAATTGGAGAGTACTGTGAGCCAGCAGACAGGTTCAGCAAGCAATAAAATGGTGTTTCTCAAAGTAAAAAACGTCTTTCTTATTTGCAAAGCAAAGTACATTTAGTTTGTTTGCTTTTAAAGAAAAAGAGATTAGCACAATAAAATTATTGGCTGAATGGAATCAGCCATCAAAAATGCTGCATAAAATTGTATGCTTAGTCATCAGTAAGCACCATGTACTCTTCAAAATATAGGCCAAACTCCAATGCATATTAAATATGATGCACAACAAAGCATTTACTGTCTCTCCTGGTAGAGAATATGCCACACAAAGCACTGTAAAAATTGCAGGTTTGAATATGAGCCTTACAGAAGTCAGATGAAATGGGTCAGTAGTTTCAGTGGGACCAGAATTCTACCATGGTTTTCTACCAGGCAGCTGTCAGTAGATTCTTTGTCTTCAAAATCTTCCGTGAATTGATCCATTTTTTATTATGAAAATGTACACTCCTGTTTTCCAGCCTTGCAATTACACTGTCAAATCCTTCTGGTATCTCTGTCTTTGCCCTTTTCTGTATCCCCTCCAATACATATAGGACAGAGTGACTGGTTTCTCCAAAAAAAATCTCACACATCTGCTCTTCCTAAAATGCACTTTCTGTTATGTGTCACTGTTAACAAGGCACTCCATCCATAACAAGGTCGTGGGATAATTCTCCTGAAATATGTCCCTTCCTGCACACCTCTTCTTTGTTCTTGATTTATTTTCTGTTTAATTTATATATTTTTTAGAAATAAGTAGTATCTGCATGGCAGCTTTGCTCTCCTGGGGTTTAGTGTAACATGGATAATGAAGTGTCCTGCTTCAGGATGTCTTGAGGGAAGTGCATAGGAGGGCCACAAGAACAGAATCACACCACTCAGTGACACCAAACCTGAAATCTCATGACTAAAAACGATGGGTTTATGGCAGACATAGCAGTTTTATGCTAGTATTTTATTCCTGCCACACAGATATGCACCCTGTATGCCACTAAGGGCTCTGTCCCCTCCAGGCACCCTTCACCCAGGGAAACAAGACACATCCAGGCTCTGCCTTTTGGAGAAACCATAGTCCCATCATGCAGCATTTGCTCCTCAGGCTTAGCCTTTTTCATTGGGTCGGGTTGGATTTTCCCTGAGGAGCTATTTCATAACATTCTTTTACACTCTAGATGAGATTGTTAGCATAAGCTGCCAATGGGCTCTCTAAGTACACAGCCTCAAGTGGATCTCCCAGGCTTTCTCCATTCCCACTGGCAGCAGTTGTCACTGGGATTTCTGATATGCTCTGGTCTCTTGCCTGAATGTGTTACAAAAATGTGCAGTTACTCAGAGTTTCATAACAAAGTTCCTCTCTAGCTCTTTAGTGGTTTTTGAGTGTACTAAAATATTCTTGTCAGTTGGAGCTGGGCTGGTACACTCGAGGTTTAATTTGGGTGATTCTTTGAAGCAGGCTCCATCCAGTGACAAAAGAAGCTCATACTGCAGTTCCATTAATGAAATGAGCTACATTCAGCAGAGAATATAAAAATTGTAGGGGGTATTCCTTTACACTTTTATTGATCATACTTAATTTTTAGTTTCTATATGGAGTAGTCACTTGTTAGATACCCGTCTTAGCATTGTATATTAAATATATCAATTTTAAAATATAACTAAACAGAAGTTATGGGTTTGACAAAGTGTTTTTGAAAATCAATGAGAAATTTATTTCAATGACCTTCTTGAGAGCTAAGGACCAACTACTGAAATACTGTTCCTTTCAATGAAACATAACTTCTAGTTATTCAAAGCACCACTTAGCATGTGTTATTTCATGGGTGAAAGAAATTACTTTTCTTTTCCCTTTTTATTCTCTTGCAATGTGGTTTCAAGTTCTAGGCTAACATTAGGGGTTGGTATAATGAGGCTTATTTTATAGTTGAGCTCTTTAATCCCTTTTCTTTATGGCATCTATTTAACATTACTCTATTGCTTCAACTTTGCTTTAAATTATTGGAAAAAGAAAGTTTCGTCATCGTTGATTAACTAAGTCTTGAATGTGTTTTCTCTAGCATATAAATCTGATTGCATTCTTAATGAAAGAGAATAAGACTGGTTCATAATGCCTTCATTTAGTGCAAGATTACAATCTGTTTCATTTAGTAATGTGTTTATTGTTATGCATTTAATGTCAACAATATTAGCAAAACTAATCTTGTGCAGCTTATTGGATTCTTGCTTATTTTTAATGGGTCATAGCACTTAGAAGCATCACATGTGTTTGAATAGCAGCATTAGATGCAGGTGACAGAAAATCAGAAATTAGTTTTCCTAGTGCTACAGTTATCTATGCTTTAACTCACATGGAGTATCAATGAGAATGATAAAATAAAGGTAGTTAGGTATATAATCTTTGTTAACTGAAGCAGGAAAGAACAAAAATTAGTCTTATTAGTTATTATATTTAAATTCACATGGCTATGTTCTTTTGTCAGTTCACTGTGATAATTTTATTGTTACTCTGAGTTCCTGTGTCGTTTTCACTTGTTTTTGATGTGGGTCCTTTCCATGGGCTGCAGTCCTTCAGGAGCAGAGTGCTCCAGCATGGATCCCCTGTGGAGCCACAGGTCCTGCTGGAAGCCTGCTCCAGCACAGGTTTTCCATGGTGTCACAGCCTCCTGCAGGCATTCAGCTCTTCTTTTGTGGGGTCCTTCTTGGGCTGGAGGTCAATCTGTGCTGCACCATGGACCTCTCAGTGGGCTGCTGGGGAAACTGCTGCTTCCCCATGGCTTTTACCACAGGCTGCAGGGGGAGCTCATCTCTGGTGCCTGGAGCGCCTCCTCCCTCTCCCTCTCCACTGACCTGGGTGTCTGCAGAGCTGTTTCTGTCACATATTCTCACTTGTCTTCTCTGGCTGCAGTTGCTTCTGCTCAGTATGATATTTTCTCCATCTTAAATATGTGATCCCAGAGGCACTGCCAGTGTTGTCCTTGGGCTTGGCCTTGCCAGCAGTGGTGGGTCCCTCTTGGAGCTGGCTGGCTTTGGATCTCTCAGGCATGGGGGAAGCTCCTGGCAGCTTCTCACAGAAGCCACCTCTTCAGCCCCCCACTACCAAAACCTTGCCATGCAAACCCAAAGCAACTTTTTAATTGTGACACTACAAAAAGAGGAACCCAAGAAAAGTTCAAATTTGTTCTCTGCTTATTTTCACATGGGAATTGAATAATAGAGACCCATCCTTTTGAACAATTCTTTAAATACAAAGTACATTTTCCCATTTCATTGAAAAAAAAAATCTCAATTGTCTTTATTCGTCTCTCCTTCTACGTGCTGCGGATTATCTTTTGTGCCTTTGGAGATATCCTGCCACTTGCACATTTCTGTTTATAATTTCTTAATTGGGAATTCCTGCTAAATGTAGGTATCATAATAGAGTGATAGGCAGTGGGTAGTGGAAAACTAGCCCTGAGTAAGAGACTGAGCTGGCTGCAAACAAACCAATATGTCTCCTCAACTTAGTTATGTGTGAAGACACTAGTTCATATTCCAGGGGTGGAATAATTGCATGCAACTTTTCCTGGAGCTGGGGTAAATAGCCATTTGCCATTTGGCTTTGGGAATAAGCTTGTCTGTTGCTCAATGGGAAATTGTGTTCCATTGCTCAGTATTGATACAGTGAAGCAGCATGGTACCGACTTCACCATATGGACACGCAGCTTACCCAGCTGACTGAATTCAACTTTTCTGGAAATAGATTTTGTTATGGTTCTTGCCTCCCAAGCTATTTAAAAAGGCTGGTTAGTGTTGTTATTTTAGTGAAAAGGGTAGACAGAGTGCTTGAGCTATTTCCTATAATCTTTTGCTCAATAGTTGTTCAGACTTACCTGCTGGTGGTGGAGCAAAATCACAGAACACTCCTTTTGTATTGCATTCCCTGCTAACACATATCCATTGAGTAAATAACAGCAAACATCATTGCGTGTAGCAAAATGCTATGATGCAATGCTTTAATATCATGCTACATACAGAATTTTGAAACTTTTGTTTGCACTTGTATCTGTTTGGTCTTGGAATGATAAAATGAGGTGGCAATCTATATCTCTGAAATGGTCAACAATCTTTTCTTTCTGCTGTTATTTGTATTTATGAATATCTTTGGGTTTTGGACCAGGTTGGGATATCTAATTACCAAAACACAATTGCAGTTGCTGTTAAAAAAATAAAACAAAATAATTTCCTAAATTTAAAAAAAAGTTTATCAATCCTTTTGTGATATGTTCTTCAATCATTACGTATAAGTAACAAATGTGGTCATAAAGTAGTCATCTTGACAGATCATAACTTTAATATTTAAGTGTTAACTCCTCCAATTTCCACTCTCTGTTTCTAGTTAGACATTTTTAGTTTTTCAGGTTACTTCTTCCACTGTTATAAGCATAACAGAGCTGCTATTTTCCAGATATATAAGTTTAGTGCCAGTGAAAATTGTTGAATTTGCAGCTCTGGAGATGGATTTTCTCTCTCCAGTAAGCAAATGCTGTTTCAAAAGTAGCACCATAAAAAAAAAAGAAATCCCAGGCAATCAAATAGCTCCAGTCTTGGCTGCAGTGGATAAACCTTTAGTGATAGAAGATATTTAGCTTTGTAGACATGCACTGATGAGAACAAACCTTGTAAGGATGTTTACTGTTAAGTAAAAAATGCTTGGTCTTTGGAGAAAGAAGGTGGTTGGATGGTTTATTTTTTGTATCTTTTTCAAAGACAAACTGATGACTGCTCATGGTCCCTTACAAAATAATACGTGATTGTTTCTTCTCGTACTAGTTCAGTTGCCACATCTGCTGGGTACGGGGCTATAGAAGAGAGTTCTTGCCCTGTATGTAAACTGTTTTTTCTACATCATAGTGAGATATCATTCAGTCTTTACGTAGCCTTTTAAATGTTTGTGGGGTTTTATTGACCACTTCATAGTAGGGGCTACAATCTACTCGCTGTTTTTTATACCAATTTTAGTTCACTAGTGCTATGAATTAGATGAGCAATGAGGAACAGTTTTGTTCTGATCAGTGTATGGGTTTTGTGAGGTTTTAAGTTAAATCTTTGTGAAATAAATTAATTTTGTTTTCTCAAGTTGACCATGTTCTTCCACATTAATAACTTTTCAGTCCTCTCAGGTTTAGCAGTGGCAAGGAGGCAGTTATTTCCATTCAGTCCTTTTTCATAAAGAAGACTTGATAAAACTGATTTTTCAAATTAACTATAATGTGCAAAATCATCTGTCTTTTCTCTGAAGAATAATAGCAATCTAAAAGGACTAGAGAATCCTAAACTGACAGATATTACAGATGAAATTTTCTGTCCAATTTTTCCCATTCAATTCGGGTTAAATGACTGTGGTAGCTAGAATATTGCTGAATTTATAGAGTGAAGGAATAAATGAAAGTATGTTGGCAATGGTCTGACAATGTGCTGCTTGATTAGCATTTGGGTCACAAAGTGGTGTAACTTGGTGAACTTTTTAGAGAAATTGTCAAGTGGTAGCATGGGTAACAAGATACAAATTCACAATGTTTTAACTGGGACTAGGAAAGGTCAGCATTAAATCTTAAATCAGATTTCTGAAGAAGTCAATGTGATTTCCAGAAGATTAATTTACTCTATGAAGTGGGATTTAAACTGAGCAATACCTTAGCAACTGTATATATTTACATGTGAATAAGGTCACCTTATATCTGAGAAACATTCACTTTACTGATACCTCTGTATAATTATAATGATTTATCTGCAGCTCGGGATCAGTGTTAAAATTTACATGTGATAATTATAAACATAAGATAGGCTGTCTTTTCCCTGAGGTGCTGAAAATAATTAAGCCATATGTTCTGTAAGCATTAGGAGAGACTAAGTTCTTTACAAAATATATTTTGACTATAGATTTTCATACTGTTCCATATGATAGCTGCTTCCTTTTCATTGTATAGCCTAGTAGATGCCAACAGTGTCATGGCTGATTCCAGGCCATCCACTTCTTCAATTTATGGAGGCTGAAAAAATTAGAGATTTATGCTTGCTAAAGTGTCTCCTGTGTGACTCAGCAGGATGTTTCTGTGTGTTGTTTTCCCTGCTGCACAGACCTTTGAGAGCACTGAGGCTGAGTCCACTTAGCTTTGCTCTGTCACCCTTTGTGGCACCTTCAGAGATGGAGAATCTTTACTGCAGGGATGAAAATTGTGGAGTCTGAGGAGGTCTCAGTAGATGAAATTGCTGGCTCTCTTCTGTTTCACACCGTGGATAAAATTGCTTCTTTTCTTGTAGCAGAAGGAAAATCAGAGCTGTGTTGATCCTCCAGAACCCAGGTGACAGATTGCTGACAGCAGAAGATCTGGCTTAGGGAGAGTGACTTTACTTTCTCTTGGGAAGCCTCCTACACCAGTTTTATGAGTGTGTATTTGTTGAAGCTGTGATGTGCTGTTACTAATATTTCTGCCATGGCATCTCCTTTGCCTGTCATAGTGAAGTGTAGGTTTGCTGATCTGTGCTGAGTATATCACTTTGTGGTGCCTTTAGTTCTGCAGACATACTTAATGGTGTGCCACAAAGGGAATAGTTTAGTTTGTCTAAGTGTGATTCAGCCTGAGGTGGGAGAACTGATTTACTTAAGGAATGGAGACTGTATTTATGGCTGAGGATTTCTGCTTCTAAATCTGACTCAGACAAAAGTTCTTCTCTTCCTTTCCTCCCATGTATCTTCTTCCTAATTCATTTGGGAGGTATTTTTTTTCTTTTTTTGCTGGGTCCTCATTATGTAAAAAGTACTGCAAAGTTCTTTTAGTAACTGCTACAGTGAATGCAGAGCCTTCCTGTATCACCAGCTCTTGTTTTCTGACGCATAATACAGTTACAATAGTAAATCAAATCAATGCTGTTCTAGAATACAATCCATGTTACCTGAATGAGAGCTTACCCTTTTTATGTCTTTGAGTATGTCACTGAATGGTTAGTAAGACAGCAGCTGTAAAGAAAAAACATACATAAAAAAGTGTATTTGTGTGGTAATTTCAGAAAATATGGGTACCAAACCTGCAGCCATTGCAGAGAAGCCAGCTACCAAACATTAACTTATTAATCAACATTACTGTAATGTTACTAAATATTATGAATCTGTAAAGAAATTATTAATTTTGTTCCTTACAATAACCTATCCTGCCCTGACAGGTTAGAAAAATATATTCTGTAAGTTAAATCATCAGCTAATTTAAAAAGGAAAGTTTAGACAAGAAATTGAACTGAAATTACTTCAAAGGAAAATCCAGATACAACATTTTATACAATTCTAGCAATGTTTGTCACCAACACAGAAAAAAAAATTCTTTGTGTTTCAGAAGCATACCATGATATTTTTTGGTTTATTTTTGCTAACATTGAAAATCCAAGTGAAATTGTTGATTCTGTTTCTGTGTCCCTTTGCAGGAGTAACAACTGTGTTGACAATGACAACACTAAGCATCAGTGCTCGAAATTCTCTGCCCAAAGTAGCATATGCAACAGCTATGGATTGGTTTATTGCTGTTTGTTATGCATTTGTATTCTCTGCATTAATCGAATTTGCAACTGTAAATTATTTCACAAAACGAGGATGGGCCTGGGATGGAAAAAGTGTAGTGAATGATAAGGTAAGTCCTAAGGAAATAGTCCTACTTCCAGTCAATTACCTAAACCAGCTCTAATATGTTATGATATTTTGCTATATATATATATATATATAAAAAAAGCTTTAAATCAAAAGAATGTACATGTGTTTTCTGTCCTTAACAGGAATAATTCTGCCCTTATGCTAATCTCATTTGGTTTCACTGATCCAGATTTGGTTATCAAGAACATTACTTTTTTATTTTGGGAATTGTCTGTCTTGTTTTTCAAATCATCAGATACAACCATTTATCTGGTTATTCATAAAATTCAATCCAGATTATATTGGTGGATCACTTTTTGTATTTTTTAATTCAGTTGAGTTGGAAATTAAAAAAAACCCAACAGAAATATATAATGTATATTAATTTTCATGTTATGTAAGGTTTAGAAAAGCAAATTAATATCCATATCTGTAAGTAAACAAAATCTAGAATTTTTTAACATTTCCAGTATTCTGAAACTTGTTCCTACTGATAGCTAGACATTAATTTTAAACCACTTTAGACAGCAGATGTACAAAATTCGTCACCTATGACATGTTGATGCTTTGACCACACAGAAACACAGTCATGCCTTAATTTTCTGGTCTTTATACTGTGATGGAATGAAGAAGTTTTGACCTGATAGAATTTCTCATTTTGCAAATAGAAATGAGCTAGTGACACACCTAAATTTGTGTATTTGCACTTTAGAATTATAATAACACAGAACAATTATTTAAGCTCACTTGTTTTGAGTGACTTAATATATTTTATCCTTTTTTCCTATCTCAGTCCTTGATTTTACCAATGAAAACAGATTTCTTCTGAAAAATACACAGATTTCAGTGATCCTTCTTAAAATAGGATAGAATTTTATTTGCTTCCTAAATGATTATATTAAATGTGAAGCAGGTTTCATTAACTGATTTCTCATCATTTTAAATGCATAAAGAAGCAATTCACAGAGAAGCAATTAATAAAGAAGCAAAATGTTCAGTTAATAGTAAAGGAGAATTAGAAGAAATGTTCATTCTTCATAATTCCCTGTGACTTCTGGAAGGGCATGAACTATCCATAACTTCAGTATCTGTTATCTCCTGCTAGAGGTAGATCAGGGCGAGTTTATCAGTGTGTCATGAGTGAAGCTTTTCAGACTGGCACGTTGCCCTGTGTGCCAGTTATTGCCATTATTATAATAATGGCAATTGTAATTGTAATAATGTAGGAAGCCGTTATAAACTTCCCTGATCATCCTTTGGTCATTCCTTTAAAGTACAACAGTGTTGTTTCATGATCCTAGGAGTGGCAACTGTTTAACAGCTAGGCAGTATTTCTTCCCTAGGAGTGACAATAGCATCCATCACATTTTAAGATTTATACACCATCCATGTGTCCAGTTCTCTTCTTTCTTCAAAGTGACTTAACACAAAGATAAGCTTTTAACATAGCCATAGCTTCTTATACAAAAATATGGTTCAGCTTTATTATGCAGATCTCATAATGGTATTGCAGATACCTTTTAAAAACACACTAATTGTGTCTGAAAGGAAGGACTTATAGATGAATTAAAGTGTTCCTCCTATAATTTGATTTGGTAATTTGCTCTTTTTTTTTAGCTGAAGGCATCTGTGCACCTAAAGCCAGACTTACTCTTCACTAATTAAAATGAAATAAGTTTTCTCAGTGGCAATTGTCTGTGTTCACATTATATGGAAACTCTTGTCTAAGTGCTGTTGACAGGGAATTTGCCTCACAGGAAGGAAGGTGCAGGAAAAAGCCACATGTTTGATCAACTATTTTTCACACTCCAGTTGATAAGCAACAGTGTTGAATTCCCAACTGGTTCCCAGATTCTCTTTTCATGTGACACCATCTCCTAAGACAAGGTGTTTTAGGCACAACATCTAACCATAAAGATCTGAGCAAGGTTTTTAGATGGCCCAGATAAATATCAAATTGGATGTAATTTAAAACCAAAATTGCAAATGGAATAGATGCCTCCCAGTGGAAGTAAAAAAATGAAATGCACCTATATGAGAATTCCCTTAGTTGTGTCACTTCTATCAGATGAAAAATCAAAACAGACCAATACAACTGATGATTTATATATGATCCAGAATTTAGCTATTTTTTCATCTGCTTAATTTTGTATTTTGTGGAAGAGACGGACTAAATCTAATATTTATTTGCTCGTCTCTAAATTACATACATATATTTTATGTATGTTAAATACATACAAGTATGTAATATATATATACATACATTTTATTATTGTATTGTTTTATATATAAATGATATGTTATATTTATATATATGTAAATAATATATATTGCTTCCTGAGAAACTGCCTTCCATTCTTTCCTGTAAGTTATTAGAAATTCCTTAGTCTGAGATTGCTGCAAAGCATTGGATTAATTTACAGCATTACAGTCTTATTGCAGAACTAGTCTGTGAACCTATGTGTTGCTCTAAAACCCCAAGCCTGTATTCATTCCCTGTCCATCCCTGTGCCCATGTGTACACATGGACTCTCCACTGAACTGCCCCTGGCTGAACTGTAGCCCTTTGAAAGCACACACAGTTCCATAACAACACAGAACTGGTGCAGTTGGAATTGACCTCTGGAGATCATTGAGTTTATCTCCCCTAGTGCAGGCAGGGTCACTTAGGATGGTTGCTCAGGGTCATTGTCCAGATATTTTTTGGATATCTTCGAAGATGAAGATTCCACAACCTCTCTAGGTAACCTGTGCCAGTGCTAGGTCATGCTCATAGTAAAAATGGGAGGTTTTTTAATACTTAAGTGGAATACTCTGTATTTCATTTTGTGCTTATTGCCTCTTGTCCTTCAACTGTATTTCACTGGGGAAAGCCTAATCTTTATTCTCAGATACTCACATATATTGACAAGACTCCCCATGAGCCTTCTCTTTTCCAGGCTGAACAGCCCCAGCTCTCTTGGCCTTTTGTATTTCACATGCTTCAGGCTTTAAATCATCTCTGAGGTCCTTTACTAGAGCAGTTTCATTATGTCCATTCTCTCTTGACCTGGGAAGCACAGCACTGGATCTAGCACTGCAGATTTGCCTCACCAGAGCTGAGTCAAGGGGAATGATCACTTCCCTTGGCTAGCTGGCAGCACTGTGTGATGCAGCCCAGGAGGCTGTTGGCCCTTGTTTCTGCTAGGGCTCACTGCTGGCTTGTGTTCAACTTGGTGGCCACCCGGACCCCCGAGCTTTTCCTACAAAGCTTCTTTCTAAGCCATTAGCCTCAACCTGCACTGGTGCATAGCTTATTCCTCCCCAGGTGCAGCACTTAAATTTCCCTTTTCTGAGCTTCATTACATTAATTCCATCCCACTGTCTTTATCTTCTGCTGTTTTTTGGGTTCTTAGTCCTGTTTTCGTCATTGTTAAGCATATTTTAACCAATAATTTATGAAAAACAGAAATAGTTCTAGGGCTGAATCTCAGCTCAGTTCTAAAACTATCGGTCTGGATTCTTTCACTTAATTGCAATCTCTTCCTGACCTCTCTCTATGTGTGTCTATGTATATAGATGTGTAAACACATTTCTCCAGAGTCTCTAAAAAATGTATACCCTTAACTGAAATTCATGTATTTATTAGTGGTATGTTATGACATGCCCAAATAATAGCCATGCTAGTTTAATGTGAGAAAGGTGGCCTAATTTTAATTTTACTGACGGGTCGTCTTCACAGAAAACATTGTAAAGAACTTGCAATTCTGTTGTAAGGAGACAGATGCAAAGCCACCACAGAAAGGCCAGCAGTTCTCCAGTTATGCTTACAATCACAGTCACAGAGACTTCCTCACATAACTTCCATAGGGCATTTGATGGTGCAAGAGCAATCTTTTGTCACCTCAACCTTCTTTTTGGATAGACTGGAAATGTCTTTCTTTATATCTGAAGTTATTGGCATGGTATTTATTTTAATATGCTCGCTTGTTTCTTTTACTTTTGAAATTATGCTTTATTAAGTCTATTCTGGCAAATACACATGAAATATTTAACTTCCTGCTGTCTTCCAATAGAAAAAAGAAAAAGCATCTGTCATTAAGAAAAACAATGCCTATGCAGTGGCTGTTGCCAACTATGCTCCAAATATTACCAAGGACTCAGTGCTACCAACCATCTCCAAGAGTGCTACAACTGCAGAACCCAACAAGGCAAAACCAGAAGCGAAGCCACAAGAAGCAAAGAAGACATTCAACAGTGTTAGCAAAATTGACAGAATGTCTAGAATAGTGTTTCCAGTCTTATTTGGTACTTTTAATTTAGTGTATTGGGCTACATATTTAAACAGGGAGCCTGTCTTACTTGGCTTCGCACCATCAACCTAAAAGCTGACTTGCACTGAGGACTTCAAGCATCATTCTAATCAGATAGGTTGTTCGCTATGTACAGTCCGACTAATAACTGCTAATCTGTGAACCATTCTGTACAGTGTGTATATAAATGTCTTGTCTGTGTGTCTCCAAAGGAGGGACACAGCGTTAATTCATGGGTCTGTAAACAGATAGCACCCATGGCAAATACAGCCAGCTCTTTAAAAGTTAAACCCAGGGGACTTCTGTTAAACTAGGATTCAAATATACAGAATTATATTCTCTCCGTACAATGAGATGAAGATGTGATCTTACATAATTATTTAGGAGCAGTATTTTTTTAATTTAAAGTTAAAATATTTTTCTATAAAGTAACTAATTCTACTTTAGTGAAAGAAACTGTCATTTAAAAAAGTGATTTTTTTAAAAAGGTGTAATTGTTTCATACAATAGCAGTACCCATGTACATAACAGAGTACGGAGGTCGTACAGTTCTGCTCTTCACAAACATTCTGGATACAAGTTAGATTGAGGAGGTAGTAAACACTACTGTATGGCAAAAGCCACAAGTTTCTTACTTCTGTCCTCTTTGAAGTTGTTAATAAATACATCTGATTGATTTCAGGGAAAAGGGTAAATCAAATTCAATATCAACCAACTTCTGCTAGTGAGATACTTATTTTTTCACTGTTTTATTTATTTTATATTATTAAGCTGGATTGTCTGGTTCAGCAAAGCTGGATTTTTTTAATTATTATTTTTGATTTTGTTCTTAATTTTGTTCTAATTTTCAGGTTTATAGAATCACTCAGACATTTTTCAGGTTTAATTTTATCAGTAATATAATATACTTTTTTCTTTGCTTAATGTTTTCCTAAAGTCTGCCATTACAATATTTACCTGTATTTGTCCCAGGAAGCACTGTTTTCAAGGGAAACAAGAACCATGATTTAAGTTCAGGAATATGTCCATATAATAAAATTTACTGCTGCTTTTGTAAATTGCAACTTTACATTTCGCTGACATAACTTTACAACAACTTTGTATACTAGAAATGATTTTGCTAAGATTTGAATGTTATTTTTTTAATAAAAGGTCATGCATCATCAGTAGGCATCAACTGTATTTCATATACACAAATACAACAAAATTGGATCTGCCATTGGCAATTTTATAAGAACATTTAATACTATCAGTAAAATTGTTTTTCTTCTGAGCCTTTGCAAAGATTCTTTATGCCCCTAAAGGCCTGGTAAATCATAGCATAAATAATAATTGTGTACTGTATTTAGATTTTAGTATACTTGGCCAATGAAAACTATTTTGATTCACACATACATTAGCAGTTATTAGTTGACCTTTAAAAAAGATACACCTTTATGATGATGTCTTCTAGTAGAGACATATGTAGTCGTATAGTGTCATTTATTGCAGTTTTGTACAGTAACTTGAGTATAGTGCATAAAATAGATATGTTCAGAGTTTAAAAAAAGTTGTACAAATATTTCTAAAATCAAATAAAAGAGTATCTTAAGACATGGAAGTGTGCTAAAAACAACAAAGAGAAACACCGCTTTCTTTTGCTGTTTTATTTTCTTGCTTTTTCTTTGCTTTGGATGTGATTCTGTTTTGTACTTTGTGTGACAGTATAGATGCCAAGGTCACAAATGCATATTATAAATAGAATTAATAGTTAAGACAGAGTTGACATCAGTAAAATAAAGACATTTAGTAGGTTATAAAAGAAAGGGAGAAGCATGGACAAGGTGTGTATCCCTTGAATTCCCTCTAATTAAACTGTCAGACTAAACCTTTCTCATCAACAGTAGCTTAAAAATGAGCACTTTACTCAGAACATTGAAATAAAAATATCCTTATTTTCATATATATTTATATGTAAATGTAGATCTTCCATGTAACATGGAGATGTGTGCAATAGTGTGATTATGAACAAAAGGCTAGAAGGCAAGCAATAAAAAAAGGGTTTTTCATGGTATAAGCATACATTTTTAAAATGTTTCATTTGTAAATTAAAAATTTTCCCTTCAACATCACATTGTCGAGGTATGAATAAATATATAAATATGTACATATGTACAAATAATTGTAAATATTAGGACTGTAGAAAAATCCCTTCACTTTTAGCTCTGTTTTTGGCAAAGGGCTCTGACTGTATAGTTTAATGGAGGCCCCTGCTAAAATGCTCTTGAACTTGAATAGCTCAATTATGTTTTCTGTGGCTGAGGTCTCCTTCCTGTGACCTAGTGAGAGCTCTTACCTTCTGTTCTTATCAGCAAGATCTAGGGACTCTCCAAACCTCACCAGACTGGGGTGTGAGAAGCAGAGTTTTGTGCTTCACCCTTGGCTACATCATCCCAGGTACTCAAACCCTTCACAGTGTTGAAACTGTTGTGTATTTCTCCATGCACGACACTGTATAGTCAGAAGTCTCCCCATGCCAAATGAGTGTGCTCAGTCATGTTGAATTACCTGATAAGGAAGGATCTTGCATCCTTATCCAAGAATGGGACCTCCTCAAAGGCTTTTAATGATAGAGTCATCTCCAGCAAGACTTCTCTGGAAAATGCCATCTGGGTAACTCAGAGCTGCCTGCAAAAAGCCCATCTTCAGTTTGCACAAGAAGCCCAACGCTGTCTCATGTTAGTCAGCCCTCCTGCTTCCACTTTCATTAGGTACAACTATTTTTTCATTCACTGACCCTTTTCTCTAACCTTTCTTGAGTCAGTAGAAGAAACATGTTTATCACGTGGTAAAGTTACATTTATTGCCCAGTTACATAGAAAAGTAGGCATACTATATAAACTTAGTGAAAAAAAATCCAAAACATTTTAAATGTATACCTGTAGTTATTGTGGGCATCAGCAGGGCTTTTAAATGGGCACGCTCCAGAAAATTTAGTAAATTGGTCAACATTAAAGCAATCTCATTCTATGGGAAGAAGGAGTATGCTTTACTGTTTCACTGCTCAAACATTTACAGTGGCCCAGCTGCGTACACATAAGTTGTAAATTTGTAAGACTACCATCTGGATAAGTAAATATAAATGTAAAGATTTAAGTGAATGGGAGCATTGTGCAAGGAGTACCAGACTACAAGAGTTAGGCCTTACTTTCCTTTAGAAGGAATCTGTGTCACTTCATTTACTATAGAATCTGTGTCTGGGATTTTAAAGCTAATGTCACAAATCTATGTGCCAAATATGTAGAGGTTTCCTATAATTTGAGTAAATCAGGTCTTAAATACTTCAAGTGGGGAGTATGAGTGAGAAAATGCAAGTAATTTCTCTCTCAAGGACTTGCACATAGAATCTGACAGTGAATTTTTTGGTTGACATATTAATCTAATCTACTTCTATTATTCTTGGGTCAGTATGTCATATTTTATGATTTAAGAAATTAATAAAATAAATACAAAGATAAAACACTGTGGTAAGGTTAGATTGGAATTACAGTAATTCTAAATGAGGTTTATGAAGTAGGCTTCCAGTGTAGTACTGGGGCACATACTTCTGGATGCATGTGTCAGTTAATTTAACAGTAATTTATAAATCAGCATGAAAAGTAGAGATCAGCACAGTTTATCAGCCAGAGTTGTCTGCTGGAGACTTCATGACAGAAGAGTAGAAAATTCTCAATTATGCTGTGGCAAATTAAATTACCTCCACCTGTCTTATGTGAGCTAATTCAGCTTGTAACTGCTGCATTGTTGAGCATCTTTAAAAAAATATTATGGTAGGGGTTCTGAGATATGAGCTTTAGTTTGGCAGACCACTCATGCCACTGAAGATTATTCTAAATTAAGGAGTCAATTTGCCCATATAGTCACAGAAAAGAGCATCTAGAGACTGAACAGGAGCCTTACTGAAACACCTTCCCTTCCCAGTGGTTACAGATAACATACAGGGTGATGAGACTTTTCAAAAGAGACCAAAACTGTCTGCATGAAATCAACGAGAAGCAGCAGGGAGGAGGTAGGGATGTATGGGGGAGGAAAGGAGAAAAGAAAGCACACAAATGGCTTTGTTACCATGGCAGTGGAATGTGAGATAACTGAGGAGGAAGTCGCTGAGGGAGGTAATATGTATTTTTGTTTCAGCTTCAGTTCTGAGCCTTCACTGCCACATGTGAGTTGTGGACAGTAACTTCTAGAGCACATAAAATGGAAATACTTGTATAATTCTACTGAACTTGAGGGACGTGAGTTGTGCCTTTGAAAGTGAGAGGCCTCTAGTGACTGCTTTGTGAAAACAGACCATGCAATACTGTGTGTCTCCTGCTGTTTGGGACATCTTGGGTGGAAGGAGAAAAGAAGCTTCAGAAATTAAGTAGAATTTTGTTAATTCTACACTTTGTTTTCTTAAAAAGCATGGCTTTCACTTAAGCAGAGAGTCAGCACTCATCCTCCATACCTCTCATTCTTATTCTGAAAGCTTAGTAGTGCACAGGTTTTGCCTTGGCCTTCACGTAAGAGATGAAGTCCATGGTGCTGAACATTACCACTCCTAACAAATTTGCATGAAAGACTATTTCAGTGTGGATATGAAGCTATCATCATCTATGCCCGATTATGTGCAGACACATAATGCTAAAATTTATAAAGCCATGCAATGAGTTTTAAAGTAGAGGAAGAAAACATTTTAAAATAAACCCAGTAAGTTAAATGGCTTCATTTAAAAAACACAGTTTAAGAATTGTAGAAATGCTTAAACATACCTAAATAGACTCTCTGAATGTAGTATAATTTCATGTCACATATAAAGTTTTTATCTTACACATATTTAAATGCTAAAATAATTACGTGAATTTGTGTAAAAGTCAGATCACCCTTCAGCCTTGAGTAAAGTTAATGGTTCTTTATAAAGCAGTGTTAGGATTCCTTCCATCTCATCCCAGCATGGGTGAACCTTCTTCTAGAATGCTCTTAGTCCACAATATAAATTCAAGTTACATCCTTTTAATATCTCTTTTTTTTTTTTTCTCTTCAGTCAAGGAAATTTCCACCTCATTTCTGTAGATGACCCAAACTCCCTAACAAGTAGAACTTTTAATTATTTTCTAAATCAAATTATTAATTTCAGCCATCTGAGAATCAGTGAGGGTCTTTAGTAATAGAAGTTAAAGGATCAAAACTTTGTTACAATGCCTGGAATATGTTAATTGCATAAAATGTTTTCTCTCTACTTTAAACTACTTAATTTTCTAGATTCAAATTTTCTAGGTGAATCTTTTAACTGATGTTTTTGGAATCTGTGATTATATCTTATTGGAAGAGGATAAATTTTGAGGGCTTGACATCTCTGGTGGAGATCAGGGCAAAATTCGCACTGAATTTAAAATAAATCTAATTTACATCCTCATCCTATTTATCTCTATCAGTGAAGTCAGTAAGGACTTTTCCAGAAGAGAAGTACACCTAACTACACCTGGCCTCTCTTTTGGATATGGGTTGTCAGTTCTTTAGTCCATGAAAATAAACCCTTAAAAGAAGTGTCAACCAGAGTGGAATACAGAGCTTTGTCTGATTTTTTCTTGATATTTATTAATGCCCTTTAAGAATATTGTAAAAATGCTCTAAGTTAGGATGAGGTGATAACACTAACAAAAAGGAATTTGGAGGATGCTTTAAAATATGCAAGATAATGTATACTCTTCCTCTAGTGTTGGAGTCTACATAAATATATATGATTATATTTTTATTGTTGGATAATTTAAAGTTCTATTTTGCTTTCAAATTAATAATGTGAATACTTTACTTGATAAGGTGTTCTGGAGTGTGTCCTTATGCATTCAAGGTTTTTAATGATTGCAATGAGTGCTTTCATTCATCTGATATTAAAAGGGGTGAGCTTCAACAGGTTGAAGTGTTATATTTGCTTTCCTATACTTTATCCATCAAACTACGCCATTGAGGATGGATGGAAATAGCGAATGGAACAAGATATTACTTTGATCAACTGCTTTTGATAGTCTTTATTAGATGTTCATTTTGGCTGAATTTTTCAGTTTATAGGCTACTGTAGCTTAGCAATAGCACGGAATGCAATGTAGTACTTTACATCTGTTAGAATACATATGCACCGTATCTATAAACTGTTAAAATATCAGTTCCTAAACTGCACCCCTTCACCCTCTGCCCTCCAAATAGTCACTTTATTAGGAAACATTTGAAGGCACTTTAATTTTGATGGAAGTGATTACACTAAGTGTTGTTATACTTGATTAAAAAAAATAGTAAAAACAAAGCGGTCTCTGATTCATACATAGTTTGCAATTTCTCAGCTGGGCTGGAGTCAGAAAACATTTATGCATTGTATGACACATCTACTTTAGTGAGTCACTTGGGTGTGAAAATGTATAGGACTTGGAAAATAGGCACTCCCAGTATATTAAAAAGAAAAAAGGGAATGGGAAGAATGAAACCAATAATTTTGAAATTAAACACCAATCAAATATGCACAATAAGAAACTGCATGATAAATGTAAGTATACTTAACCTTGAACATCAATGTCATATACAATCTTCTGGGTGACAGTTTACTTATTTAGTAGGTTTCATAGTTATAAATAATTAAAGAAGATTATAATATTCTGTAATTTGTGACCTTGTTTTAACTGGGAAAATCGTTACTTTTCTAAAATGTAAAAGAAATAACTGGATTTATGTTTGAATGTGTCACTGCTTGCTGTTGAAGAATATTTATTAACCACATGCAAAATATTGCTTAACATTATCTTTTTGTACTTCTTATTAAAGTTAATTTAAATATAGCACATTTTGTATTTTTGTTTTTAATGCTTTGACAGCACAAATATTTAATTCCCTTCATGTCTTCTCTCTTAGGACTTGTGTGTGGGTTTTTCATTTTCTTGTTTTTAAACAACCCATTACAGTCTCCATGAAGGTACTTTTTTATTAAAGACAGTATTTCCCAAAGGAAACAAACAATATATTGAAAAGAAAATATTCCTCAGCTTGGCGAGAGTTTAACAGATTTCCCATTTATATAATGAGAATACCCTAATGTATTCATATTACAAATGGCAATGTTTCATATTTTCTGAAGGTTATAAAACATGTTGCTGCTGGGTATAAACTAACAACTGAATGATGTGGAGCACAAGAAACCTCCTACCAGACAGCTTAATTCATTAGTGGGAGTATGTGGGGTAACAAAGCTTACTTAGAAACAAACAGAAGACTATACTGTTAGTAAGGTTTGGGTTTGGATTTTTTGGTTTTGTTTTTGTTTTTTTATTTGTTTTAAAGTGAGCATTATGATTCCAAGTATTTCAGTGGAAAAGCTGTAGATTTTTCTGAGATGATCCTTTCTTTTCCTGTAAAGTCACATGTTCTCACAAGAAACACATAAATGTTCTTCATAGATGATGAAGGACATGACATCCTCCTGTCCAGATTGGTAAGACATGGATTTGAGATGTGGACTATATGACGAGTAAGGAACTGGCTGGATGGATATAGACAGCTGTGGCAAATGGCTCAATGTCCAGGTGGAGGTCAGTGACAAGAGGTGTCCCTCAGGGAGCTGTTTTGGGATTGATGCTCTTCAATATCTTTGTCAAGGACACGGACAATGACATTCATGCACCGTCAGCAAGTTCACCAATGGCACAAAGCTGAGCAGTGCAGGTGACACAGAGGAAGTAAGGAATGCCATTCAGGGGGACCTAGACATACATGGGAAGTGGGCCCATGGAAACCTCATGAGTTTCAGCAAGTCCAGGTGCAACATGCTGCACCTAGGTTGGGGCAGTCCCAGACATGAGCCCAGACTGAGAGAAGATGTCATTCTCTGCAGAGAAGGGCTTGGGGATTCTTGCAGATGAAAATATGGCCGTGACCTATCAGTGTGTGCTCACAGCCCAGAAGGCCAATGGCATTCTGTGCTGCACCAAAAGCAGCTTGATAGAGGTGCAGCTTGATGTTCTGCCCTGGTGAGACCTACCTGAAGTAGATAGATAGATAAAATGTAGGAGAATAGAGATAGTCGTGAAGGTAATCTCACCCCTAAGGAGTTACAGCTGTGCCAATTATCAAGCATTAAGAACAAGCCTGCCCTTAATAGGCCACAGCTGGATCAAATTAAGAGGGGTATTGTAAAAGAGCAGGTTGGCTGATTGAGGTGTAAGAGGGACGGAGTTTGTTGGCTGTGCTGAGAGGAAGAAACAGCTAGTGCTGTGAGGAGCTGCCCATGAGAAATCATGAAGAAGGTATGGAACTTTTGCAACAATCTAGCAACAAAGTACAGTGCCCAGGTCTGGGGTCCTCAGCACAGAAAAGACATGGAAGTGTTAGAGAAGGTCCAGAGGAGGCCACAAAGATGCTCAGAGGTCTGGGACATGTCCCATGAAGACAGGCTGAGAGAGCTGGGCTGTGCAGCCTGAAGAAGGGAAGGCTATGGGGAGATCTCATTGTGGCCTTTCAGTACTTAAAGAGTGCTTATGAAAATGAGAAGGGACTTTTTACCTGGGTAGATAGTGATAGGAGAGAGGACAATTGTTTTAAACTAAAAGACAAGAGATTTAAATTAGATATTAGGAAGAAATTTTCTACTACTTTCTACTCTGAGGGTGCTAAGGAACTGACACAAATTGCCCAATGGAGTGGATGCCCCCTCCCTGGAAGTATTCAATGCCAGGTTGGATGGGACTGATGGGACTTTGAGTAACCTGGTCCAGTAGAAGGTGTCCTTGCCTAAGGCAATTTATGGAGTGCTGAGGGATTAACAGCAATGCAGAAAATTGTCCAAAATATAGTATATATTTTTCAGGAAATACTTAATCCAAAAATCAGACTGTAATGAATAAGGATTTAGTTTCAAAAACGTGTTTTATGTCTGGATAAGAAGCAAACAGGGGCCTGAGTAATACTTGCAGAGTTAACAAATCGTATGGGAGAAAAGAACCATTTAAGTAGATCCAGCATGGAAAATATTTTGAACATTTTGTCCTGTGCATTTGTGGTGGATAGGAGTCAAAGTGAAAGATGAATATTCATAACATTTTAAATATTGAAAAGCAACTCTGCTTTCAAGTTCTTTGCAGATCTTTTGAGACCCTGCTATAACTTATTAAAGAGGAAGGAATTTAATGTCTCTTCAACTTTCCAAAGATTAGCATCACTTTTTGCTAATGCTGGACATAAGTGACAAAGAATGTGACAGTTTGATGAAGATTACTTTTTTTGTAGAGTAACATATTTAACTCCTGCAGTCCTCTCCCTCCTCCCCCCACACCCCGCCCCCCCAAAATCAATTCTTAATGTTGGAGGTAGTAAGAACCAGCAGTTAAAATTGCCCTCAAGTTGTGGCTTGACATTATTATCTTAAACCTTTCTGATGGAACACATTTTCCTTCAAAACACCTTTCTCTTATTCTTTTCTACCACAGCCACCTGACACTAATGAGTTAAATGCTCTCAGAAATGACAGTGGTTAGAGTTTAGAGTCAACCATGCTTCAAGTCTCATTGTAGGTAGAGTTCAGCTGTTTCTACTGTATGTTGTATGCAATGGTAAGTGTTTCTATTTTTAATAGAAGAATTCTGACAGCATTAATATGCTAGAACAAGTGTCCAGCAATGAGCCAGTGATCAGGTGATACTGGGAATATCAAAGACTAGATCCATCTGGCAACTCTGCCAGTTACCAATGGTAACTTCACACCTCACACTAAGACACAGTATTTTAAAAAAGCTCCAAAAAAAAAAGAGCAGAAAAAACCCTGAGAAATATAGGAGGCTGTTGAAATGCATTGATGACAACTTCCTGGCTGAGGTGATGCAGGAGTCAAGGAGCTCATGCAGCTCATACTTACAAAAGGAATGGACAGGACAGTGAGTAGAAAAAACCCTGAGAAATATAGGAGGCTGTTGAAATGCATTGATGCCAACTTCCTGGCTGAGGTGATGCAGGAGTCAAGGAGCTCATGCAGCTCTGTTGCAGCTCATACTTACAAAAGGAATGGACAGGACAGTGATGTGCAAGCCTTGGGTGACCATGAGATAGAAGGGTTCAGGATCCTTAGAGGAGAGAACAAGGCAAAAAAACTGGATACCAGCCCTGGACTGCAAGAGAGCAGACTGACCCTTATCTCTGCACAGTGCTAGTTCCATTCACAGCCCCAGGCAGCTGAGGGGAAGGGTTGAAAGAGTCCCTTGGTAGATGGCTCTGGTGAGAAAAGAGGTCCAGAGCATCTAGTTGATTTTCAAACATATTCTTCTCCAACCTCAAGCAAAGTCCAACTCGGCAAGCAAGAAGTCAAGCCAAGGTGGCAGGAGGCCTGTAAGATAAATTGGCCTTGACTAAACTCAAATATAAAAAGGTGGAAGCAGGGGCAGGTGACCTGGAAGGAATATAGAGACACTCTCTAAGTTTTTAGAGAGAAAGCCAAAAGTCTGAGGATGGGAAGGATACAAACACATTTCCTACCTTCAAAGAGGGGTGGAAGGAGGGTCTGGTGACCTACAGGTCATCTTCACCTTGATTGTTGATTGGTTTCTTTGTAACAAAACAAATACTCTTGAAAAACGTTTTCAAACATCTTAAAGACAGCAGGCCCATTGAACTCCATGTATGTGACATTACTTGTGAAGGTCTGGCATCAAGGAGTGAATCTTTTCCAGCAGTTCCAGTAGTATAACATTACTATTAGTCTGCTAGGATTTTTGTCTGATTCTGCAGATACTTTTTTTCCTACATGAAAGAGATTAGGAATAATTAGCTTTATCTCTAGCATTCCCGCAACAGTCAACACAGCAGGCAACCCTTCACCATTGCCCCCTTTCTTACCTTTTATGCTGATGTCTCATTTTGCCTTAGAACAACAGTTTCTATTCCTTACAGCTACAAAGAAAGCCTCTGAAGTATATGCTCAACATCAAAAGATACAGCACTTCCTGAATCTGCAGACAATCTGACTCAATAGATCACTTCTGAGAAGTGTCATTTTAGTGTGTTGTGGAAAAATCAGTTAATCATTTAATTGGTACTCCAATTAAGACAATTTAAGTAATTTGAGCAGGGAAGAGGGTTTGTTTCCTCTGCCAGGCTACAAATTCATATTTTTAACTTTGGTGCTTAGGAGATGGGAAAGAGGAAATCATAAAATAAGAGCCAACTGAGGTTTATGCAGTGCTACACTATAATGAATCAAAAAAACCTGAGTTTTGAAGGTTGTAAGACAAGGAAGGATGTATTTAAAAGTACCTTCTAAAGTTATAAAGCATATAATATAGTCATATTAACAGTACAGACACCTGCCCTTTAATAAGGCCTTTTTCCTGTGTAGAACACATGCTAGAATTGCAGGCCCATTTTGGTGTTGGTAAGGAGAAGCCTTTTGCCCACCACAGAAAACCAGTGTGTGAGAAGGCTTTTCATATGTTTCATTACTTTAGTTATTTCTTCTGTGTTGAATGACTAGATCTCTCATAACAATTTGATATCTTATATTTATGACTCTAAAGGTGCATTAAATAGTCATTTTAATGCTAAGATGCTGCAACTGAATCAACATTTTGCCTGCTACCCATTCTCACAATGAAAATTTCAAAATTGTGCATTCACTTTTGTAGACAATTCATGGCAACAAGATGATTTCTATTTATTGTAAGCTAATCACAATGTCATAAAGAGATGACTACTTGAAATTATTGCCTTTCTCAGTACTCACACATCACTTTTGTTGCCAAAGCCTAAGTGTTTATGTCTGAAGTATAATTTCTTTGTTGACAAATTATAATAATGGCAA